CTCACTCACTCACTCACTCACTCACTCACTCACTCACTCACCCATTGACCCGTCCATAACATACCCGACGCGCCGACTAAGAGGTATTTTTTTTAACGAAAAAATAACTCAATAAAGTCTCTATCTATCTATCCAGGGAATGTAACAAAAGACCCAAAAAACGACTTCACTGACTCTTACATGAGAAAGACTAAAACATCATATTTCTTCCCTTAGAAAAGGATTTTAAACATTTCATCTTTAAAATTCTACTCAAAGACAACTGTTTACATTCACTTAGGAGAGATGTGTGCCCAAAGAAAGACCCCAGTAAGCATTGTGTGACCAGACAATCTCATGTGACCTAATTAACGACTATGAAGACTCTTACAAAAACATTCCTTTCCTTAGAAAAACATTTAAAACATTTTGTACTTTACAGTGTATACAGAACATGTGCAACTGGTTACATGCACCTACGAGAGTTGTGTGACTCAAAGAATACGACCTTAATGAGCATTGTGTGACCAGACAATCTTGCATTGCCTAAAAAACGACAACGAAGGCTCTTACAAAAAAAATGTTCCTTCCCTTAGAAAAAGATTATAAACATTTCGTATTTTACACTGATACAGAACAACATGTCACATGTACCTGGAAGAGTTGTGTGACTCAAAGAACCCGACCTTAGTAAGCGTTGTGTGACCAGACAATCTGGTGTGACCTAATTACGACTACAAAGACTTAATTGTAGCAAACGGTATGTGACCAGACAATCTCGTGTAACCCAATAACCGACTACGAAGACTCTTACAAAAATCTTCCTTACCTTAGAAAAAGATTTCAAACAATTCGCATTTTGCACTGTACACGGAAAAACTGGTCACATGCACCTTGAAGAGTTGTGTGACTCAAAGAACACGACCTTTTGACTTAATTAACGACTACAAATATCTACAAAAATACTCTTTCCTTTAGAAAAAGATTTTAAACATTTCATCTTTTACACTGTACACAAAAACAACTGGTACTTTCTTAGACACTTTCAAATCCCTGATATCGTCGCAAACACGTCCAATGTATTTCTTGTAGCGAGGGTTTTTGTCAGCAATAGTTGCCACGCTCGCGTCAAAGGCATCTTCGTTAGAATCCAGATCCAGAATAGCTGCCATGCTGCGTAGAACAGAACCTGGTAGGTCAACCTAAAGAACAAAAGAAACAAGGTTAGAGAAAAAAGGCTAGTGTTTTTATCTTGTTTTTGAGAAGCTAACTGTTTCGCACCCAGCCGAGTTCGCACCTTCCAAGTTCACACCTCATCTAAACTCATCATAAACTTTCAATTTCGAGTTCACCCCTACCTTTTTTGGTTTTTCGAGTTCGCTCCCAAATTTTGTCTGCGATCAAAAATTTAAAACGCTCCTGAGTATGAACTAAGTAGGGTAGGGTAGGAGAGGGTAGGAGAGGGTAGGG